GGGGGTCAGGGATCCCCGCGCGGGGGGTCCCGGGGCCAAACCCCAACCCTGGCTCGGTCCCCGGGGATCCCTGTGTGACAACCCTGCAGCGGTAGTCTGTACATTGGTCTTAGCTGGACGTGATTCCTTGTTGCATCGTCATTAGTAGTAGGCTAGAATAGATTCTGAGTAGTGGTAGGTTGGGCACTGAGCGTCAATCAAGAGGAGCGGCATTGGATATTTTGTGGATGGTGGCGAGTTAAGAATGACATTGACAGGTCTGGGACTTGGGGATTCGGCCGCTGGAAGATTATACAGATGAGCCACACGGTGAGGATCAACCAGGCGCTAGCCGTCGCCACGTCACAGGCTGTGTGGCTCACCGACAGAGCGGAGCAGGGATTGGTTTCAGTTCCTGGAGAACCGCTTCCGCTACAACCACCATAGCCGCTGCCGATGAGAGGGCAGCGTGACGCGGTGAACGTTGACCATCAGGTCAACGCTGATGGTGGACAGCGGAGGAAGCCCAGTTTGACCAATCTGCATGGCATAAAGGGTTTTGACATGTGTGAGCAACGAAGGGTGGCAAGTGGCATGGAGAGAAAGTGTACCTAAGAGGAGCGGGCGAAGAAGGCAGGCTGGCAGGGAGCCAGGAGAAGCAGCGAGCAGCAGCCGAAGAAGGAGCACGGCGGCAGCGTTCCGAAATGACAGAGTTAGAACGACCATATCCTTGAGGATATCAAGACTAATAAGGCGGTTGAGTTGTATCCGAATTACTGAGAACTCGGACAGAAGTGAAGTCGAGCAATCGAAGTGAGGACATGAAGGCCACAGGTAAGTACTGGCCCTGCGGGCCTCCCAAATAAAGAAGTGCCCTGGGGGGCCACACAAGCAAGGCATACATTCCAGGCTTTTCCAGCGGCAAAACTTAGAAATCAGCTGTGTTCTCAATACGTGTTTTGGCAGGTCCTTACACAGGCGGAACGACTTGCGCCATGGTCCTGTTTTGCCTGGATGTTATCCAAGGAAAGAGGTTGGTGCATCCTGACCGACGTGGCATGCATGGAGCCACGTTGGAGGAAAAATGCTGGGAGATGTACTGGTGGTTTAAGCCTTTACGGGTATTCATAATTTGCGGTGCTACCTTTCCCCCGAGCTGCATTTGAGTAGAAGGACCTCTTTTTCTTTAATACGAGTTCACACCTGTCCCGTCAGGATGAATGATGGAAATGCAACTGTTTGTAAACAGGTCATGACCTTGAATCAAATGTGACAGGCTACCCCTCGTTTTCCGTTGTAATGAGGGGCAGAAAAATTACAAGTGCACATGGAGAATGGTTTCCACCGCATCCAAGTTTTGGGATTCTTTCTCTCAAGGGGGAGGTTGTATTCGGTTCTCCTTTCTTGGCGAAGTGTGAGGGGGGGCAGTGTCATTCAGCCCAGCCCAAACACCATCACCGACGTAACCCAGCGTACCACCCACCCCACATCATACCGCACAGCTCCACATAGTACCATCCAATCCACATAGTACAACCTGCCCCTGAAACCAGAGAGCCCAGTCCATGCGGAAACCACATAGCATCACCCACGCCACATATCAAAACCCAGCCTACGTAGTACTGCCTAGCATTGCTGTGACGGGCTCTTTTTTTGGGCGCACTGCAAGTGCATGCATGGGCAAGAGAGAGAGAGAGAGAGAGAGAGAGAGAGAGAGAGAGAGAGAGAGAGAGAGAGAGAGAGAGAGAGGGAGGGAGGGAGGGAGGGAGGGAGGGAGGGAGAGAGGGGGCTGCATCAAGAGCAAAAACGAAATTCCGTGAGGTGCCTGATGTGCACACCCATGGCACCACAGTGACCACACGGCATGTTCTTTTTTTTTTGTGTGTGTGTGTGTGTGTGTGTGTGTGTGTGTGTGTGTGTGTGTGTGTGGAGCCATGTCATGGCGCACTCATTTGGATTCAAATTTAACCTCCCATCCATGTTGCAAGGAGGAAAATTTGCAAAGACATACAAACACAAACACAGACATATCTCAGAACCTCATCTCTTCTTCCTTCCCCGGCGAGGCCGCACCCCGACTTGTGGGTTTAAATGAGGAAAAGAAACCAGTAATTGGCAACTTTGTCAATGGGATAGGAATGGATTAATCAGCAAAGAGAACAAGAAAGGAATGCACATCAACAATCAACAAAGGAACGGACGCAGGAATCGGCGAGCACTCGGCTTGTTTTTTTTTTCAAGGAAAAAGAAAGAGTAACCGATGAATGGAATCAATGGATTAATGAGCAAATAGAACTAGAAAGGAATGGACAAATGAACAATCGACAAATGAATGCATGCGGGAATGAACAGGTAATAATGAAACTAACTGACGGCATAATTATGATCATTTGATTGACGTTCTGGAAGTGAATGGCTATTGACCACAAGCATGACCTTTTTCTTCATACTTACAGAACTATAACAATTTGTTGGTTGATGGATGGGCCAGGCCGTGCGTTTCCTCCAACTGAAAGTGCCACTGTTTGCAAACGTTGCATCATCAAGGATCCGTCTTTTTGCTCACCACTTCTCTGCCACAAGCTATGCCCGTGGACACGTGTTCTTTCTCGACAGTGGTATGAAACTCTTCTTCATCCGCAACGGCACATGCAATCTATGCTACCCGGTCAACGATTCAGGATTGCGATTAAACACGGCAAAAAGGAATTTAGAGCACAAGGGGATTACTTACCGAATGTGCGTTTGTGACTCAACCAACCAACTTATTTGACACCAGCTATCAGCCTCGCCTACCAGTAACAAAAACTTCAAAGTTCAAACAGAGAGAGCAATTAAAACAACCACAAACCACCGGAAAAGGAAAAGAAAAGAGAAGAAAAGAAAAGCAAGAAGACTGTCTCTCAGACACACGTCTTTTTTGACGATTCATCCAGTCTCCATTCCCCCTTCCCTCCAACTCTCCCCTCCCTCAACTTTCCTCCCTCTTCCTCGCCCCCCCCCTCTCCCCCCCTCCCCTCCTCCCCCTTCCTTGACTTTTGCATGACAAACGTAATGTCACATTTGTCAAATCAGTAAATTGCACAGAACCTGTGTTTGACGGGCGACAATATTGGGGTATCATTGGCTGGCCATAATGTCCACACGATGAATCCATCCTTGCTCAAGAGAGAAGTTTAAGATGTATGTTCAGATAGATATTTTGTTTGAGAACAAGGCTCCAATCTATTCGTGGGGAGCAGCACGTGCTGGGAACCGAGCCCAGAGTCTGATATGAAAATTGTACAGAAGAATTTTGACGTACCAGGGCCATTACCTGGCTTCGGCTGAGAAGCACACACCCTTTTTTCCTTACAGAGCCGAAACCTGAGAATAAATAAGATCAAAACTATACATTTAGAACCTCATATGTTTAGAACTTTAGATAAAACGAAGACCGTATGTTTAGAACTTCAGATCAAATCAAGACTCCTGCAATGAGCCCAGACTTCAGACCAGCATCTCATCATGATTCGCATGTCATACCGAGAAACACACCTCAGAACATGTGAGTTGGAAACAGAAGTAGGATATATGAGAACTAGCCGTATAGGATAGCGCCGCACTCGATCAACGCCTAATGCCCCCAACCTAGAGTACGGTATATGAGAAGTAGCCGTATAGGATAGCGCTGCACTCGATCAACGCCCTTTTTTTTTTTTTAATCCCCCTTCCAGTGATAGTGGTGCTGGTAAGAGCAGACACCACTAGCACCTGAGGAGAGGCTCCATCTATTGGTGGGGAGCAGCACCTGCTGGAAAACGGGTCCAGCATCCCATATACAGAAGAAATTCAGAGTATGTCAGGAAAAAGATGCCGGAGACTCCTGTCGGCATTGATTACTCTGGAATCCAGAGGATTGACTGAACAGGAGTTTGGAAAAAGGAAGAGAACCTCTTCGCCCTGAACCAGGCGCCAGATAACTGCTGCTACAAACTAGTTCCTCCCTCCCCACCCCGCCCCTTTTCCACCCAGGACCAGCTTTTGTTTGGACAATACTCTATGAGGCCGTTATATGCTCTGCCCTCGTTCAAACTGCACAGTCGGTTCCATACCATTGCAGGTCCACCATTGCTAGTTGGTGGGGCCGGAAGGGGTCGGGAAATTCTGTGGATGGTCGTAGTGGGAACTCCTGGCCCACCACTGTCCAGTCTTTGAAACAAATATTGTAGTCCTTTGTAAACTCTCCCTGGTGGTCGCCCTGGGTAGGCCTGCCTTCCCATCTGACGTGAAATCAGACTCGCTTTCATTCACACTTCTCATGCATGTAAACTGGTTGCGCAGCAAGCTGGCGACGAGCGCCCACTCAGAACTCAGAGATATGGCAAACAAGAACACAGTTCAGATACAACTCGCTTTAGATGGCTATGGCGGCTCAGCGCCTGTACAACTCTCTGTTTGCTCTCACAGGATCACCCTGGATATCCCACGAGCGACACTCTGTACACACATACACACACACACACGCTACACTCTACCTACAGCTATGGCGGCTATGGCCGCTGCTAACCTATCGCTATGGCTAAGCTCCTTCTCGCCCACTTCGTCTTCGGGCTCACTGCAGACCACCTCGCACAAGTCGCTGTTACGCAGGAATGAATGAATGGCTGGGCGCTGCCTCTTGATTTATACTTCTGTATCTCGTTGGTCTGCCCCTTTCCCATGCCCGTGGTGCACACAGTCCCATACGGTACTTGCTTGACTGGACTAGGACTGACTGGGACTGGGACTGCTGAGTCAGCACGGGTCGAATCCATCACTTGCCCACTTGCCTCAGCCTAAACGTGGGCAACTTCGAAAGGCCACTACTAGGACCTTCCGGAAGGCCGTGGAATTGGCCTTTCGATACTGTAGCAGCTACGACCTTGACCTTTCGGAGGAGCTACAGCTACGACTTTCTAGACCTTGCTAAGACTCCTACCCAACAGGTCTACAGATCGAACCCCTACTACCTACGGACTCTACGACAGTCTACCAACTGTTACAAATACACAGGTCACGGGTTCAACTCTCGGGGTCGACACAGATACTGTACACAGGTAAGGTTAAGTCTAGGGATCGAGCCCTGGGACCTGCACTTGCTACTGCGGACAGGTGAATACCGTTTCAGACGGAGGCAATCTAGCGCCCGTTCTCGTTGCCCAACCAGTCTTTTGAGAATTGCTGGATTGTTTGTACTATATCTTTGGATGAGTGAAACAAGTCCAATTGATTCCTAATTCTTTGCCATTGTACCGTTAGTTCTTGTTGGACATATTGTTTTATCATATCTGTCACCTCTCCCTCCACCGTGCGGGCACCCTCTATGGCATGTATACAACGTTTCCTCCAGAGGGCCCACATGACAGCTCTCCTTCCTGTTTTAAACATGTAAGAGTTATCTGTGGGGGAGGACCATGTCTCGCATAGTATGGCTTTCCAGTCCGAAGGCCATTTTGACCCAGTGTCCAGACGGGACCAGATTCTATCCCACCATCGCCATGTGAGGACTGCACCCGGACATTGCATGAATATGTGTTCTATAGTTTCCGGGATTCTGCGGGAGGGGAAGACAGTGTGGCACGCTTTGCGCCAAGGTAAAGCTTGTCCTCTCTGCTCTAGATGGGTACGATTTATCAACCAGTCGTTGGTGGGTAAGCAACGATGTTCTATCTGCCACTGCAGTGAGGCCATCTTTGTTGGCCTGGCTCTGGTGGCAGTGAACCAGCGAATAGGACGGATCACCTCGGTTCCTACATTTAATTGGGATCTCCATCTTTCCTTTACCTTTTCCTTAATGTTTACTTTGGAGCGCAACAGGCGATATATCGTCTGCACTGTTAGGTTCTGCAGCTTTGTCTTCCCCCTAGATCTGCTTTTCCGTGGCTGTGACCACTGCCATTCCTCGAGATCCAAGGGGAGCTCGACTAATGGGGTGTTTGGCTGATATGCAATCCATACATACATCCTTATCCTGTAACACACGAATCCTTTGTAGATCCTTGGTTTTTCCCCATCTCGTCGCATCCGGGGAATATCGGGTAAGGACATTATCCTTGCCTATGTGAAAAAGGGTAAGCAAAGTGCCATACGACCGCACGTCCACCACATTTCCCACACTTTTTGAGTCGCCCGGTACAGATACCCAATCTCCTTCTTCCAGTCGTGGCCCTTTGCGCAGGATGCGCACCCATTCCAGGGGAATTCCGAATATGAACATTTCAAAGTTGTCCTCAATATTGTGACAGTATTTTAGTGTGTCCTTCAGTTGCTGCACTGTATTCCAATCCCTCGTCTCTGAGTTTCAAATGTTTTTTATTCGCATAACACCTTTTTTAACCCAGCTACACCAGGGGGTGACCAAACTGCTAAACACCCTGCTATATCGATCGGTGATCCTCCTGTTTCCAAACAGGGGTTGGCGCATCACTTCCTCCCACCTAGTCGGAGGGGGGTTGTTAGGAAGAGGGAGTTGGCGCCAGGCTCTTAAAACCCTGGCCCAGAAGTTGTCCCGGGCCAGGTCCTTCCGGATTATTCCTCCATTCGGTTCATGGTCACCCTGAGTGCGCCGTGGCACAGTACAAAAGCGGGCTTCCAGCCAGGTCAGTGGGTGAACGTCCTATGGTGCTTGCGGGGCAAGTCTGGCCATCTGTTTTAGTGCCAGGGCGTACCATGGAAGTTGTTGTGTGAAGAGTAGCCTCTTAACCCATTGCACCATTATTGCTGTGACATGTGTTTCCGGGTCAAGAATCCCCAACTCCCCTTTGTTTTTAGGTTGGAGCACTGATGACCAAGCTACCTTGTTGATGACGTTCGTGAGCTCACCATTGTCTCGCCACAGCAGTGTGGTTACCTGACGCTTCAAAGATCGGATGGCTGCCTTACTAAGAGCCCAAATTGCTGATTTGTACCAAAGGGCCGCCAACACCACACTGTTAATCGCCAACACGCTACCAAATAGGGAGGTGTGTTGGTCCTTCCAGTGGGCTAACTTTTCTAGAGCGGGTTTCAGTATCCACTCATCGTTCGATGTCGGCCTACCTAGTGCTGTTAGCATGATTCCAAGTACCCTAACCGGGGCCTCTTTGGGGAGCCACTTAACCTGTGGAAGGTCCGAAGGCGCACTCCTTGATGATGAATCCACCAACCCAAAGTTTTATTTCCCCAATTAACAATCATGTCTGAGATCGCTGTGAATCGGTCATATAGTCTTCTGATCTCGTCCATGTTCGTTGTTGTGGCATCTACCATAATTGTCAAGTCATCTACGAACAGCGAACAGATGGGGATTGCGTCGTCAGGGATGGCCGAGATTTGTAGCTTCCTGAGGTCTTTGTTGGCGTGAAGGTTCGTTGCCAGTGCCTCCATCACAATCATGAAAAGGAAGGGTGCCAGAGGGTCCCCTTGTCTGACTGACCGTTGCAGCGGGAAGGCTGGCACCACCCTGCCATTGACTTGGACACACGTAGTGGCGTTATGATGCAAAATCTCGGTCCAACGCCGAAAAACAGGTCCAATGTTCATTGTTTCCATGCATCTGTATAAAAATTGTCAGTCTACGTGATCATAGGCTTTTTCGAAATCGATGAAGACCACAGCCACGTTCTATTTATCTTGTCTTGTAAGTTTGAGGAGTTCATTGACTACTAGGATATTGTCGTGGATCCTACGCTCTTTGACGAATCCAGTCTGTGTGGGGTGAATGATGTCGTCCAGGACTG